AAGCAAGCAAAAAGAAGCAAGGCCGTGTACGTGTATTTAAGAATGTATGTGTGATTATCACATTTGTGTAAATACGCATAAAAAGAGAATATTCAATAAACCTTAACATGCAAGGTGCGTTCCAAAGTAAACAGTAAAGAAGTAACAAAGTAAACTCTAGTGGCGCCATCTATATTTCGACTAGTGCGTTAGAATCTGCTTTCCTTTATAGACTTCCAGTAAAAATTCCATGACATTTTATCTATTGGAAGTGAAGTTATTGCGTTTTAAGTGTCAGTATGTTTTGGCCATCGGTGCGAAAATGAGCAGAGATAAAGAAATGCCCAACTCGTCTCTCACTGGAAATGAGAGCGTAATTGATAAACGTCAAAACCTACTGAACTCAAGCAACTGTCAAAGTTCAGTAGGTCTGACGTTTAGCAATTGGAAAAAGAGGGACAGCCAGATTAAAATCCTACAGAAATATATGTAAACAGAGAGATTTGTTCTGCTGTTGAAGATCACTAACAAAAATTGGAAAACAATGAAAATGAAAGAAACCGCCAAATTGAAATGTATGTGATGATATCTTTTGTGATGTCATGCTAAGTGGTATTGATTTTCAATTGAAAATTTTTAAAAACATTTATTAATTGAGAGCTAATACATTTATTCTTTTGATTACGTATTGAAAGTTCAAAAATCAATTGTTTAATATATCACAAAATCAAAAAAAAAGAGTATAAAAAGTTTCTGAATATGTTTAACGGATACATATATAATAATATTTAATCTTAATAAATGATGGGTATTTTAATTTAAATTCCCAAAAATTATTATTTTGTCCGATCTGGCTACAATGCAAAATGTTATAAAAAACGCTAATTTTGAGGCGCTCTCACACTGGAAAGAGTTGGGCATCCCATTATCCCTGAAATGAGCTTCGAACAAAGAGCCATCATTAAATTTTGTTTTAAAATTGATAAAACTTTTACCTAAACGCTTTACTTGATGAAACAAGTTTATGGCGATGATTGCCTATCCCGTAGAAGAGTGCACGAGTGGTTTCAACGTTTTTAAAGTGGTCGTGAGGACATAAATGAGAAATGAGCCGAAACCCCAAAAATCGCGCCTGGAGAAGTCAAAAGTGAAGACAATGCTGATTTGTTTTTATGATTCCAAGGGGATTATATTAGCCACAAAGAATTTGTTCCACTCGGCCAAAACGTTAATGCTGTATTCTTCCTTGGAGTTTTGAAGCGTTTGGTGCGCCGTATTCGACGTGTTCGGCCCGAATATCGCGAAGATGGAAGTTGGCGTATGTTGCACGATAATGCGCCGTCTCATCTTGTGGCCGATTATTTGACCAAAAATTACATTTTAACAATCAACCACTCCCCGTATTCACCTGATATGGCACCGTGTGCCTTCTACCTTTTCGGAAAAATGCATTTGCTGATGAAAGGAAAGCGTTATGCAGACGTGGAGGCTATTGGCTAGGCTAGACGTGGAGGCTAGAGGCTAGACTTGAATAATTGGGTGCCCACTTTAATGGGAAGCACATATTTAAGGTTTTGTGAATCACTTACACTCGCGGTTAATGTTACAAGTGAAAATACATAATATTTATAATAAATATGAAATATGAAATATGCGAACATTTATTTTTTACAAGTTTATGTTACACGTAATGCAGTGTCGAATCGAAAATTGAGTTGCGCGCAGGATCGCTATTACTTTGAATGAGGTGAATTGAAGATCCAATCCCTCTTTTATTGTTGATTGTGTGGGGTGTCATCGTGTGTGGTGGTAACTTCTGTGGTGTCATCGTGTACAGTGTGGTCGTGTATGTTGTGAGTGCGAGTTGTGTTCTAAGGTGTGGTGTGTTGTATTAGGGTGTGTCATTATTTACCCCGATGAAGCGGTGTAGTTGGTGGGGGAGTTTATAGACATCTAAACAACGCTCGTTCGACATGCTTTTGGACCGTGCAAAAAGCTGTATTAAAGCAGAAGGAGACTATCTTGATTAAAATTAATTGATTTTGCCGATAAAACCATTTGTTCTGTCTTTTTTTTTAAAGTCCTGTTTACTTTGGAACGCACCTTGTATGAACATATTTTCCTGAAATATTTTAATTATCTCAGGAAGTAATCTATGCTATTAATGTAATTGAATTGAGATATGCTTAATTCCAATTAACAAAAAAAAAAATTAAATTAAAACTGAAGTATTAAATGTTTATTTTATTATAAACTCTGGGGTTTTTTTGCCCGGTAATACAGCTTTTTAATTTAGAAGACTTTTCATAATTATAAATTTTATCATATCATGAAAATTGAAAACATAAATCTAAATAGGTATGCGCAACGATTTTTCATTTCCATAATTTATATTTTTCGATGTTTCCTCATCTGGAATTACAAATTAGTACACAAAAAGATTTCATTTAACATTTGCGCCTTCTCTATACGTTCTCTCATTACCGTACAGCTAACATTTGCGCCTTCTCTATTCGTTAACATTCTCTGGTGCAGCAGAATTAGGAGAAGATTTGCACACTATGCCAATGATTTTAAGCGGTGATTCTATTTTGTCCTGGAAGAAGCCCAACAATTTTTACAATTTTTAGAAAGTAAATTTAATTAAAAAAAATGAATAATAATCCCAAAGACTCAACAACCAGATCAGGCACGACAATAGATGCAATTTTCTCAAGACATTTAAATAATTTACAATCACGAGTTTTCATTTCATATTTTTCATACCACAAACCAATTGTATCTTTTCTTGAACATGAAAGTATGAAAGTTAAAGTAACCTAACACCCTTAAAAATTCCAGAATAATGAATAGTGGCTTCTGTTGTCGGGGAAATATTTCTATCTCATAAAACTTGCTGGCTAGGGTGAGTATTTTCATTTCAAGTGCCCATCGAGATCCATGAAGTTTCACTTCTATTGCCTCTGGTTTTTTTTTTATTTTAAATATGTTATTTAAAGTTATTTCAGTGCAGTGCATGCTTACTCTAACTTTGTGTTTTTCTTAATTAATCTCATTGAGGTTTGTTAATAGTAACGATTTGTTTTATTTTCGATATAGATAATGTAAATACATATATTAATTTTCACACAACGAACACTTAAAAAAAGAACTTATTATTATGATAACTCAAACTAGTCGGCCAGACATACCCCAGTTTTGGTTCTTGGCGATGCCAGATGGAGCACTGGTCATGAGGAGTAGTCATCGTTCAAGATGACAGCGTTTGACACGAATTTTAATAGGTTCTTCCGCCTCACTATCGACATCTCATCCACTGTATTTGAAGCGTTGCCTTGCTTATGCCATACAAGTGCACAACAGATGCTCCATTATTTTTCTGGTGCCTTTCTCTTGACATTTTCGAGTCATCTCGAACTGTCAGCCCCATTCTGCGGGCGTGTGCCACCACCAGACGGTGACCAGTGAGTATTCCTTTGTGACCTGGCGCCCAGTAGAAGTGAAGTGGCTGGTTTCTCTCTACTCGTACCCTGCTTCTCAAGCCACTTCTGGCTGATATGCGAAATTTTCTATGTTTACTCTGAACCTTCTTTCCCAATTAAAAAGTGGGATCATGTAGTCGGTGCTTGCCGAACCGCCATTACCCACCAAGCTAAACCCAAAGGCGCATTTTTCAGCGAAAAGACCTATAGATGCCAGGTTCAGTACTAGTTCAAGAGCCGCTGTTGGAATGGTTCTCAGAGCTACCGCTATTAGGGTTGTTGACATTTTAAAAAGTATCGTTTTTCAATTTATAGACATGACAAAATTGTAAATATCATCGTATCGATAATATCGCTTATAAAATGTCGATATATCGCACTAAAACTTTATTTTTCATTGCAATATTTAAGAATTCCTGTTAAATAATAACTAAAAAAAAGAAGAATAATGTATGTACTGTACATATGTAATAACTTACAGTCTTTTTAATACGCTTTTATTAGCTTAGGTTGTATGTATGTAATGGAATCTTAGAGCTCAATTTTTAACGGTTTCCAGAAGTCTAATCAACTTGAAACTTTGCAGACGTGTCAAGGTCATAACAGTTTCCCAATACTTTAAGGGTGGGCGTAACCCCATCCCTAAGTGGTTTAATATATATATCTTCCAAACCTCTAAAGCTAACTCAACCAAATTTGCTGAGAGGAAGTCCTTTTAGCCCTTTTTCATACGCTGTGAAGGTGGGCAAAATCAGATAATAACCACGCCTACACCCCATATAACAGTTATGTTAAAATATACTAAAAGTGCGATAACTGAACTCATAAATGCGCCATAAGCATTAATTTTCACAAACAAGATGGTAGGGATGAGCTTTATAGGAGAAGGTTTAAAAATTTCTTTAAGGTGTGGTTTTTTAGTTTTTTAAACATTTTCTATATATTTTCGTTCACTGTTTTAAGAAATACACGTTTTTTAACATTGTCGTCCAGCAACCTGCTTTTGTCATTTGTAACTAATTTTACTGTTAACGCCACCCCTTCGGAAGATGCGGAGCTGGCTGAGACAATTAAGTATTTAAGGGCCACTTTTGACAATTTTGGGTACAGATCTTTCTTGGATAACCAGAAGTGAATGGGATTGCATTTTATTTTTATACAATTGGCCTAAAGGTACATTTCAATTTCCTTCTTGAAGTCGTTTTCTGGTTCGTATATCAGTGTAGTATCAGACTGCTAATGGGGGGTTACGACCTCAAACGGTTCAAAGCCATAATTAATCTCCCGAGGAACAAATTCCGGCTACTTGTCGCGTTCTACATGGGTATAGCCTCTTCTGCAAACTGCCGGTTCTGCGACATAGAGCCGGAAACCCCTGAACATCTGCTGATGAACTGCAAAGCAGTCTGCAGACGCAGAATCAAGGCCCTGGGATCCATGTTTCCACACAGGGATTGTATCGCCTCACTAGCACCCAGCAGAATTTTGGAATTTATCAACCTGCTGGGCCTAGATGATACGATATGACTTAGGGGAGGGCACAATAGACCATAGGTCGCGGTGCATACCTCAAAACTAATCTAATCTAATCTAATCAGTGTAGTGAGAACTACATTGTCATGAATATCCCACAAAGATGAAGCGCTAGGTGGTACTGTATTTTTTGTCTGAAAATAATGAGTAATTCATGATACGAATCCCCAAAAAATGTATCAAACTAACCGTATTTTCCACACTATTATTTCTTTTATTCTCATCATTTCTTCTTTCATTTCTACGTAACTCTAAAGTGATTTTTTCGATTGCATCTGCTGTAGTAAGAGATGATAGAAAATGTAGCCTTTTGAAGCGCGAATTAAGTACTGTGGCTTTAGATAGCAAAGAATGTTTTTCAACGGAACTAGTCGTTTGTTGACACTCTCAGTTAACAATCTAGGAGCCATCTGATCATATTCGGTACGGATATCCACATTGACTAAATACTGTCTCAACATATTAGTCAACGGTATGACAAGGCTTGCCGTAAAGTACTTCTCCCCGCTTATGTTTTCTGTGGCTTCTTTGAATGACTTCAGTAATTCAATTAATTCGCAGATTATTTTTAGCTAGTGATGACTTGTCATCTCGGGAATACTGTGGCGACTGTTCATTCACTTGAATAAAATATGTCCAATTATTGCTGCCAACTCTTTGAAGGCTTCTATCATGTCAAGACATAAGTTCCAACGCGTATATCCGGTGCGACTGTTTTTACCAAGTCTTCTGGTGCACCGGCCTCTATTTGCGTAGTTCGAAATGCATCAAAAGAGTTGAATATGCCTTTAATTCAGCCAGGATGCTGTGCCCGGAATGCGCCATGTCTGGAATGCTCTTCTCGGTGTCTAATAACCCTTTCAGAGCGGCTACAACATTCGCACCATTGCCTGCAGTGATCGAAACTTCTTTTTGGATAGGTATTTCAAATTCATTTAATGCTTCAACGATAGAAGTGCTTATATATTCTGATGTATGCGTCTGAAATAAAGTCTACTGGTTATTAGGTTAAAAATTAAGCAAATGTAAAATTATTACCCCGTGTATCCGCAAAGCCGTTAAGTTAAGCAAACACTTTCAAGCTTATCATATTGCAAGAAGTGCGCTGTCAATGTTGAAAAGGAATTGTAGAATTTGTTATTGTAACAATGTCACTCGTAAATGCGATGTTATTAATTGATCTTTTCTGATTCATTGATTCTTGAATACATCCTTAACAATTGCGGTAGCCTCGGTATATTTTCTATCAATAAGCTTTCTGATTTACCAAAAATACAGATAATAAATACTTAGACATAAAAAGTTGGTTACAGTATGTAAATTGAACTAACCTTAAATCTGGAAGGCAATTTGTATCTCGTACGTTTAATAATCTTTGCAGGCCGGATTTTTGTACACAATGTATCTTTTCATATCATAAACACGCAGCGCTTATTTGTTGCTCCTTAATGTCACCTTCTATTATTAAAAATACAGTAAGTTATTGCATATTTCAAAAAAAAATTTAAACTAACCTACAAATTACCTGATTTCATCAAATTATGTTTCCAGCGTAGGGTCTCTGGACCTTTTACAGATTTCTACTAAAGATTGATTTGAACAAGCGCTGGTATTCTGGTCACTGGTGTCCTGGTGAATATACAATGTGTTAATATTTATATTTTTTTATGCAAACTGAACGTTAGTACATGGTAAAAACTTAAGAACTATGTGATGATGATTTTCACCAAATTTGCGCACAATGTGCATATCATAGCGTTTTTTTCCTTTGGCTTGATATACAAATGTAGTTCTTTAGTTTTTCCATTTTTCCGTAACTTAACGTACAATTTTAAAAAAGAATACGGTACTTGCGATGCATGTGTGTAAGTACGCGTGTATGTAGTCGATAATCGATGTGGCCACATCAGATAAATTTTTAATTCGCTCTCCCATTCTAACCGAATCAATGCGAATCATGCGAATCATTCAAAATTTTGAGAGATTGGACATATTTGTGAGTAAAATATCGATATGTTATATTATCGTTCAAAACAATATCGCATCGATAATATTGTAATGGATTTCTCGATAAATCATCTACTTATAACTCACTCTTGAGTTCGATCACTGAATTTTAAATAAAAGTCCCAATTTAATGGCTATACACTTATCTTTATTTCTAATTCCAACAACTTAACACTTATTGCTCGATATTCGAGTTTACAACTTATGGCTTATAGCTTAATTGCTGATATCACGACAACACTCTAACTAGAACTGCACAATCTGGCAGCCCTTATAGAGCATGAGAGAGGGAGAAAGCCCCCAGGTTGTGCCGAGCATCCGTCTATATGCATAAATAATTGTTTCGTTTGCACACTCACCTTTTAGCACTTTAAATCACCAATATGTATATTAAAAAGAAACGGATACGGCTGGTATGAAGGCTTAAAAAAAATACGGGCGGAAACTTGCGGACGTTTAGCTGGTTCGATTTGCTAGCTAAGAAGAAGGCCTCTGGTCCTGTCTTAGTCCCTTTAGAGTGTTGGGTTGTGTAGAGTTGTGGTGTGATGTGATGTGTATGTGTGGGTGGTCTGAGTGGTGAGATGTCTGCAAGGTGGTGCGTGTTTGTGTGTATTAGTGGGTGGAGTCTTCTTGTTGATCGTGTTGATGGGGTGTGTTGCCGCGCAGTGGCGCGCTGTAGTTGCTGCAGCGTGGCAACAACGCTGCTGAGGCCAGTGGAGCGGCGGTATGTTGGCCTGGGCTGCCGACGCCGCGTTGATGCCTCCTGTCGCCTCGGTCTGGATGGTGGTGGAGCTGCCTGTCTTCGGAGGCGATCCGGATGGTTGCTCTGCTGCGATCTGCGGCTTGGGGTGCGGTGCAGCATGGTGTGGTGCTGTCTATTACACAGTTGACAAAGCGTAACCGACGTACACTCCGGAGTCGTGTGGACCGTAGCCAAACAGTTGAGACAGTGCCCGTGAGCTTGGGCAATCTGCTGACGTTGGAGGGGCTGCATACTTCGAAAAATGCTGCAGTGTTGCAGCCGGTGTGAGCGTCAACCCAGTGGGCACCTGCTGCGTTGAGGTACCGTTGCTGGTGCTGATGAAGGTGGTAGTGGACGCCGGCCATTACGGGAAGTGGTTGCAGGAACGCCAATTGCCGCTGCGGTTCGTGGTGTTGGAGTTGCCCCAGGGCGCGGCACATTGATGGCGGACCTCACAGCTGGCGTTGGTGTTGCTGCCATATCTACTTCCATATTTATCTGTATGAAGAAGTTGGAAAGGTTATACATTTGTGGCATGTAAATTTATGGCGAATGTGCCACTGTATGTGGCAGGAATGGATCGTCAACTTGATCGATCATTGGGGTTAGAATGGTTGGTTTACAACGGTTTTGTCATTTGCGGGTTTATCGGGTAGTTATATGACTAATTCATTTGCGTCGCGGTAATATCGGCGGATTGTTCGTTATTTGCGGTTTTGTCATTAGATGTGTAATATAGTTTTTCTACGCGGCCAAGCCGCCATTCTGTGTGGGGTAGACAATCATCGTGTATGATGACACAGTCTCCAAGCTTTGGTGCCTTTTCTGTAGTTTTCCATCGGTACCTCTAATGAAGGTCGTTGATGTACTCTTCCTTCCATCGGCGGCTGAAATCGTGATGGAGAATTTTGATTCTTTCCCATCGATTTAATAAGGATAGCGCCCCACGCCTGGCTCAGGTATGGCCAGAATGGGTGCTCCTTTAAGAAAATGCCCTGGAGTTAGGGCTGTAAAGTCGGAGGGATCTTGCGAGAGTGTTGTGAGTGGCCGTGAATTGAGAACGGCTTAAATTCGGATTAATAAGGTAGTGAGTTCTTCAAAATTGAATTTATAATTTCCAGCTACTTTTTTGAAATTGGATTTGAAGCTTTTTACATTTGATTTCCATAAACCACCCATATGAGGAGCGCTTGGGGGGATAAACTGCCAATTAATGCCTTGGGGAGCATACTTCTGAACAATTTCAGGTGATACTTGTTTTATAAAATCCACAAACTGTTTTTCAGTGGCTCTTTGGGCTCCAATGAAGGTTTTGCCGTTATCGCTCATTAGTTTTGAGGGGAAGCCGCGTCGTCCGACGAAGCGAGCAAATGCCGCGAGAAAAGCTTCCTTAGTCAGATTCGTACATAGCTCGGGGTACACTGCTTTTGTCGTAAAACAGACAAAGACAGCCACATAGCCTTTCATTATGGTGGGCGAACTTAGCCTTTATTTGAAAAGGCCCAGCAAAATCGACACCTGTGACTGTGAAAGGCAGAGCGAAGTTACAGCGTTCCGGTGGAAGTGCTGCCATAATCTGCGTTCGCAACTTCTGCTTATGCAGAGTGCAGATCTTGCACATGAAAATGCATTTTTTATTTGGGGCTTAAGTCGGGCAATATAGAACTCTTGGCGGACTATATGTTGCATTAGGCGATGTGTATGATTAGAGGGTGGCGTTCATTATACGTGAGGCTTGAATTGGCAAGCCGACCATTTGCACGAAGCAGACCTTTCGTGTCTAGGAATGGGTTAAAAACTAAGAGTGAACTCCTTTTGTCAATGGGTTTTGATTCTCTTAATAGTGTTGTATCGCGGCTGAAGTAGCGCATTTGAGTTGATGCGATTAGAGCGACCTTTGCATTTCTAGGTGCGTCAATGTATCGCATTGGGGATATTCTGAGGGAACTCCCTTAACTTTAATTTTAGGTCGCTCTATGAACTTTAACATATAGGCGATTACTCTGAGGGCTCGGGAGAACGATGAAAATCGCTCAAGGATGTCAGTATCCTCCACTGCTGTGTGAAAGGAGTCGATTTTTCGACTTTCTGTGGCTATTATATTGCGCATGGGCGATTGTGGCCAAGAATCGGGAGATTCTGTTAATCATCGGGGACCATTCCACCAGAGGGTGGTGGTCGTAGGGTGCAGCGGTTTGCACCCTCTTGTACCTAGATCGGCAGGATTGTCAGCACTGCCTACGTGTCGCCAAGTGGCTGATCCACTAGGTCAAGTATTTGAGACGTTCGATTAGCAATGTACGTCTTCCGTGCATGTGGTGGTTTTTCCAACCAGGCTAGAATAATTTTAGAATCGGACCAGAGGTACAATCTAAGTTTCTTCATGTTTAAATGGGTCTGCACCATGGAATTTTGCGAGTAGTAGCGCGCCACAGAGCTCAAGTCGAGGTAGACTTAGCGTTTTTAAAGGAGCCACCTTTGCTTTTGCTACTAATAAGTGGCTTGTGGTCGCAGTATCGCTTTGTGCGCGCACATAGATAGTGGCACAGTATGCCTTTTCAGAGGCATCACAGAAGCCGTGTATTTCGACTTTGTGTTCGGGCAAATAGTTTACCCATCGTGGGATTTGTATCTGGGAAATGTCTTCCAGATTGTGTGCGAACTGGGACCATTTTTCTAAGCGTAGAGGTTTCACTTGTTCGTCCCAGTCGGTTCCGTCTAGCCATAACTCTTGTATCAAGATTTTCGCTTGTATCATAATTGGAGAAAGCCATCCTGCGGGGTCGAAAAGTTTTGCCACAGAGTATACAATTTGGCGTTTTGTTATGGCGGATAATGCTGATATTGACTCTGTAGTGTATGAAAAGTGGTCAGATATCGCATTCCATTGGATCCCCAGAGTTTTTGTTGTACTTTCCTTTTCGAATTTAAGGAAATTAGTGTCCAACAGATTTTCTTTAGGTATGTCCTTTAAGATGTTAGGGTGGTTCGCCGTTATCTTTTTTAATGGAAACTCTGCGGTTTTGAGGGCTTGTGTCACTTGTGCTAGTGACTCGTGTGCTTGTGGAAGACTGTGACTTCCAGACAGGATATCGTCTACATACGTTATTATGTTTTTAACACCTGGGTAGCCAGAGGAAATTCTGACTTGGTGTTTTCTGCCAATTCGTGCAGTGTTCGAATGGCTAAATATGGAGTACAGTTGACGCCAAAGGTAGGTAGGTAGGTAGGTAAAGTGGGTATCATTCGACACACCTAGGCCTTTAGGAGGCCCAATGTGTTACCACTGGGACTGTGGTCCCCTCACTCTATTGGATCCTCTCTGAACCACCCCGTACTTCTGATGAACTTCATCAATGAGACAAGTTTTATCCGTGCAAACTCCGAGATGTCGTCACGAAACCCACGACCGATGGCTGCGATTCTTTTCCTATATAGTGCTGCGCAATCGCATAGAAGATGTTTAATGGTCACCTTCTCTTCTACTTCCTGACAGCTTTTACAATAGTCATTATATGGCGTGCAAAGTCTACTTGCATGTCTGCCTATTAGACAGTGGCCTGTTAGTACTACTACTAGAGTTCTTATATAATTTCGCTTGAATTTTAACAGTCGGAATGTGCGGCTCATATTCCATTCATGCCACGTTTGCCTGCTAGTTGAGCAGGTCAGGGACTGATTCCACTGACACTCGGCTATTTTAATGACATGTTTGTCGATTAAATATCTACAAGTAGCCAGAGGCATATTTATGTTCTCCTTACCAGGATCTAGTTGTAGGGTGGTGCCTGTTCTGGCTAGTTCATCTGCTACACAGTTCCCGGGGATGTCAGTGTGTCCTGGGACCTATTGCAGATTTACCGTGAAATAGGATGACAGATCCGCTAGAAGATCATGGCATTATTTCACTGTCTTCGACGAAATTCTATGAGACATCAGAGATTTCAAAGCCGCCTGGCTGTCTGTATATATAAATTTCTTTCTTGTTGTGATCACACTTCTTGTCAGTACAAGAAGGCTTTCTTTAATTGCAGTGACCTCCGCTTGGAAGACACTGCAGTGGTCTGGTAACCGAAAGGCGATTTTGGTATCTAGTTTAGCCGAGAAGACACCGCCGCCTACTTAGTTATCCAGTTTGGAACCATCCGTATAGAAGCTTATCCCTGCTTCCTTGTCCACTACAGAAGGCAATATTGAGGACCGGATTTATGTTCAGTTCCATAGGATTGCGTGGTTATGGGAAGAAACGGGAACTCCCTAAATATCATAGAGTGCCCCTTGTTACTGGCGACTAGTAGGGAGGATTCCCTCAGTCTCGAAGCTGATTTTGCTGCCATTTGCTTGCAAAACAGATCTGCTGGCAGTAAGTGTAAAATTACGTTGAGTGCCTGGCTTGGCGTGGTTCTGAGAGCGCCTTTGATGCAAATACTGGCTGCTCTTTGTATACTTTCCATGCTTCTAATCGCATATTCTTTTCTGTAATTGGCCACCATACTAATATACCGTAAGTCATGATGGGCCTTACAATTGCTGTGTACAGCCAGTGAGCTACCCGAGGCGTCAGCCCCCATCTGGGCCCCACCATTCTTTTACACGTGTAAAGCGATGTAGCTGCTTTCTTTACCCTCGCTTCCAAGTTTTGTTTCCAAGAAAGCTTCTTGTCCAAAATTAGTCCCAAGTAGCTTGCTTTATCTCCTATCGTTAGCCTGGTGCCATTTAAAAATGGCAGCGTGATTTCTGGAGTACTGTGTTTCTTAGTGAACAATACTAGTTCTGTCTTGCTAGCATTTAAATTCAGTCCGCATGATACGGTCCATCGATTAATATCGTTTAATATTGTCTGCATAAGGCTAGCGAGGGTGTTCGGGAACTTGCCCCTAACCGAGACTATATCATCAGCGTAGGCCACAACATGTACCCCCTTCTTTTCTAGATCCACAAGCATTTTATTCATTGTCAGGATCCAGAGAAATGGGGATAACACGCCTCCTTGGGGTTTACCCCTTCGGACAGATCTGCGCATCGTTGAAGCTCCCAACGTTGAAATAGTTGACCTGCCCAAGAGCATCTGTTTAATTAATTTCCGGAGAGGCTCAGAGATGTCCAGATCTTTAAGCGCGCTCAATATGGCCTTCGGCTGGATGTTATTGAAAGCACCTTCTATGTCTAGGAAGGCTACGAGGGTGTATTTTTTTATTTCCAGAGACTTTTCAATTTCTGTTACCACTGAGCTTAATGCTGTTTCTGTGGATTTACCCTTAGAGTACGCATGCTGCGAAACTGCCATTTTTCCTGGGTTTAGTTTGCCCCTTATATGTATTTCTATTAGTCACTCCAGCGTTTTTAAAATAAATGATGAAAGGCTAATTGGTCTAAAATCCGTTGGATTAATGTATGAGCTTTTTCCAGCCTTTGGCATATATATCACCTTGACCTCCCTCCATATCGAGGGAATATAGTTTAATTGCAGTGCCCCTTTAAGCATGGTTGTTAACCAGTTTATTGTGTAGCTCAGGGACTGCTGTTACTGAGCCGGAAATAATCCGTCTAGATAAATATTACTATCTGACACTATGTCTAGCGGAGGGGACTCTGAGCCCACTTCACTCTCCAGTATATGCTCCCTTATGTGGTTCTCGGAACTGTCTGGGAAGTGAGTATCCATTAGTAGGCCTAGAGTCTCTTCATTGGATACCGTCCAGCTGTGGTCTGGCTTCTGAAGGTATCCGATGCTATGTTTCGACTGTGTCATTATTTTTCTAGATCGAGACGCTTCTGCCGTATTCTCGATGTCATTGCAAAAAGATTTCCACGAATTTCTTTTTGCCTTTCTTACCTCCTTTTTATATTATATGTCCATAGGAGGTTATAATAGTTATCCCACTCTCTATCTTTTTGGGATAATTTGGTACAATTTAATTGCTTCCTGCAATCTTTCTGCATGTTCTTAAGTATGGGAGACCACCAAGGAGGCCTTATTCTTCCCCTACTGTTCGTTAATGGACAAGCCACCTCTAGTGCTTGACGACAAGAACCTGTGAACTGTTTAACGAAGATGTTTAGGTCCTCTTTGTTTTCCGGTTGAAATGGTGGAATCATAGGAATACGCTTTTTTAGCTCCTGCATGCGCATCTGCCAGTTCGTTTTCCTATGATTCCTAAATTTCTCTTCCCTAACTACATTTTCTTCATTTATACACTCAATGTAGCGGTGATCTGAGATCCAATACCCCCCAATGTGTTATTTTATCCACCAGTTCTTCCGATACCAGTGTTATATCTAATACTTACTGTCGGTATCTGGTTATAAATGTTGGCGTACTACCTTTGTTGCATAACAAAAGCTTACTTCCTTAAATAATTAAAGAGAAACTCACCCCTTTCATTGATGTCCGTGCTGCTCCATAGTGTGTGGTATGCATTGGAGTCGCACCCACTTATAATCAAACACTTAGATGCTTCGGTGTCTCGCACCAGCCCTTTGATCAGCTGCGATGGTACTGCTACCTCGTCATACGGCATGTAGCATGATGCCAGCCGGTATTTCTTTCCACCCGTCTCCCAGCTTACTACTGTAGTGTCGTTACTACTGTAACTGTGTAATAAAAATACATTAAGCTTTTTACTAGCCAATATACATGTCCTAGCCTTACCTACGCAGCCATCCGCGGATAAATTATATCCCGGTGTCCTCAGACCATAAATACGCCTTCCATTAAACCATGGCTCCTAAATGAGGACGAAGTCAGGCCGTTCTTCTGCCATGCGGTTAACTAGGGCTAGAGACGCTAGTTTGCTGTGGTGTAGATTAATTTGGAGAAGACGCATTAATTAGTGTCACTCCGAAGTACACTCACCTTGGTCAGTGTTCTCTACATCACTCGAGGACTCCATTGGATCTTCCTCGACTTCGCATTCCGATTCCGATGCCAAGTTTTCTCCTGCATCGGCGTCTGACTTGTAGGTCATAACCTTCATCTTTATCTGACCCTGATACCATCCGGCATCCGTACATGACGGGGGTGGACCTGGATTGCTTAGTAGCACTTCCAACGCCACATTCGTCAGTGCGGCTTGCACCCACTTCCATTGAGCTCTGGTCACTTTTCCTTCGGGGTCACCCCCATCCAGCACCCCAATGACAATGAGTTCCGGGCCACATTAGCAAAAGATTTTGCGGGCATCACGCCCTTAGTCTTCGGTCTCTTAGCTGATGGCTTAGCCTCTTCAGCTGACTTTTGTCTCTTAGCTGCCACCACCTGCGCTTCTAGCTTGAAGTTAGGTAAGACAGCTCTCGCACAATCAGTGCACAAGCAACGCGTCGCTTCTCTGCATACCTTGCCTTCGCTAGGTCGTCAATCTTAAAGGTAGGCCATTCTCTGGCTGACCCACTCTGGCAGCATCACTTTTGGCATCTCCCTCCTTCCCCTGCTTAGCTGCCAAGCCTTGGCTACAGGAGTTGGTATGGGCTGCCTTCAGTGCTGCTGCTTTCCTGGCGCCAGTCTTGGTTTCTGCACCTTTGGTGTTTGCTCCAGGACCAAGCTTCGCGCCTGTCCTCGCCTTGGCTGTTGTCGAGCTCGTGCCAAACGCTGCTCTCCTCTGGGAATAACTCGCTAGCTCCGGCCTTTTTAAAGGAGGTCCGGACTCCTTTTTGTTTTTGTTATTATTATTTTGTCTCATATTTTGGACCCTACCGCTACGCAAGTAAGGCTATCTTATTACGGAGGGCGCCAGGTATCCGTAAGCTCCGTGCGAGACTGGGCTATTTAAGGGCCCCAAGCCAGGTTGATCATTGGCACGGGTCGCATGACACCTTGATCCAGCCCTTTACACACCTCTTGCCATGGTAAGACTTCCTATCTGGATGCTGCACTATTGAAGAGTACCGAACACCCAGATAGGAAGCCTGACCTTAGATAGATACCTCACTACTACAACAGAGGCGAACTGCTGCCAGCTCGTCCTTGCCTACGTCGTGAAACTGTGGTATCTATTCCCAGTCGGCACCCTCGTGGAGGGTTCAGCGGAGAATTTTGCCAACTGACTCCAAAGGTAACTGTTTTCGAATTTATAGTCGCAGAGTGGACTATTGGGAGATTTTCGGAAAATAATTCGTTAAAAATCTTGATCGTCTTTATCTACGACTATTTGTCTATACATTTTTTCGACGTCTCCGTTAAATACGTATTTGAATATACGCCAATTTAAAATGAGTAGCATTTAATCTGGTTGGAGCGTGGGTCTCGTAAATAGAATATCATTTAGGGAATTCCCCGAGCTAGTAGATCTTGATGCATTAAAGACAACTCTTACTTTAGTTGTTTTTTTGTCTGGCTTTACTACTGCGTGATGAGGCAAGTAAAATGAGTCATATTTGCCATTTATGATTTTTTCGCATGGGCGTACTTCCTCCATGTGGTCTAAATGGAGGTATTCTTCTAACACGCCATCGTATTCTGGCTTAAGCTCACCCTTTTTAAGTAAGTGTTTTTTCCATACTTAAAAACTGCTGTGTTGCAGAGTTGTAATTGAAATGTGGGGAAGTTTTTCTAACTCCCAAAATTTTTTCAATTGTGAATTGAGGTATTCATTTGAGATTTCCTCAACTTGAGTGGTCATGGTGCTAACTGGTTCTGTAACTAGTCCACTTAGGATCCAACCGAAAATAGTATTTTGTGCCAATAGTGTGTTTGAAATTTTCTCTACACCCTCGAGTATTATCTGAGGTATGAGATCGCTGACTAATAGAATGTCTATTTGAGCGGGGGTGTTGCAGTTGGGATCTGCTAGCTTTAGGTGTGAAACCTTTTGCCAATGCTTGCAATTTATATGATAGCTTGGAAGCATATTTGTAAGTTGCGGCAAGGCTAAAGCTTCTGCTTTAATTCTCTTATCCGCTTGGGAGGAAATGAAGGTAATGGGGATATTATTAGAGTTTTGCACTACTCTTCCGCCCATTCCTATAATCTCAAAGTTGGCTTGTTTTGTTGGCAGTTGTAGGCTATTTTGTGCCCTAGACGCTATGAAAGATCGTTGTGATCAGTGGTCTATTAAGGACCTAAGTTTAAACAGCTCTCCTCGGTGTTCGATGGAGACAACTGCTGTGGGTAGTAGTACCCTACTTTGGTTTTCGCTGTGTATCGTTTGAGTTTTTAATGCCTTTGAGCAGCATGGTGCTTCTTGGCAATTTTTGGGATTTCGCACTTCGGGATTTGTTGTTGCAATTAAACAAATCTGTGGCTCTTTTCATATTTACACTGTTTGGAGGTGAGCTATAAAAATTGTTATAATGAAGCATAGAATGATGTAGTTTATGACAATAAACGCAATTAAATTTGCTTTCGCACTCTTTAAGTGTATGCGCATGTGACAAGCAGTTTGTGCAAAGTCTTTTTGTTTTTACAAAAAGAAGCTTCTATTTAAATTGTTGTTGCTACTGGCTTGTGGTCTGTGGAAGCGGTCATTGTTCATAACCACCATGAAATATTTCTGTGTCACATGCGGGCACCTTGAGATGGATGCCTGAACTTGCCTCTTGACTTTGTACTTGTGGCAGCTCTATTCGCTGATGTGGAGTAGGTGCAATTGCTTTTATTAGCTTTAGTTGATCGGAAATCATTGCTTTAGTTTCTTCAAACTGGTCTTAGCAGTTCTCATACTTGGCGTAAGCCGAGGACTTAAAATTTTCTGGTGGATCTGTGTCGTCAGATTCTACTGAAGCTTGGAGACATATCCGAAAATTGTCGAGATTTTTCTTTTTGATTTCTAATGCCGATTCAGAATTATCTTGAATTGGAGAAGATGAAAATCGAGTGCAGTATCTTATTAAACTGTCACTTTCAGCAATGAATTTACTCATGTAATGCCTTGTAGCACGTTGCTTTGAGCGTGTAGCTTTTGCAGGTGTACATGGACTTCTTTCGTCAGAAATCATTTTTAGAACTTTTAGCAACTGAGTTGTTTTAGAATCTTTCGAGTCTGAGCTCATTTAAAAGATGTGCCGAAATAAAATAAAATATTTTCAATGTAAGAAATATATGTATATGTTTGAAACCTCTTTTAAGAAAATAAGAGCTTTTGTTTTTAAAAATTAACAAATTAATGACGTTTTTAAAATCGTATGAGTAACTTAACTCTTTTAAGATAATAAGAGTTTTTATTTAATTAAATGAATATATTACCCGTATCTCGTGTTATATCGCTTTTATTATAAAAAATGTTTTTATGTTTTTATTTTATTTCTATGAATATATATGCGTCCGTAATTCCTATAGGGTATACCTATAAGCGGATCAGCTGATACATATGTACCTGTCGTTATGCGCAGTTGAGAGCTCGTCTTAGAGATCAATGCACTTTGTACATATGTATGTATGTAATATACAATATTATGTTTTAATATGTTTTGCGCAATCCTGCTTGTTTTTGTTGGTCAAAGAACAAGGGGTATTGCGAATATGTGCCAATGTGGACTTAAAATATTATATGTATACCTATATGCAATTCTACTTGTTTTTGTTTAACAAAGAACAAGGGGTATTGCGGAATATTTGCCAATGTGAACTTTGAAGCGGAGTACTTATGTATGTTTGTATACCTGAGCGTGTATATATATACGCAGTGCGAAAATACCGCGAAAAGGAAAAAATTTACAGCAGGTATTCTTGTAAAATTTATGAATATATGTATGTATATCAATTATTAGTAATATATGTATGTATAGCAATTATTAGTATTATATGTATGTTTGTATGTTTTCATACATATATTAATGCTGCAAACGGAGGTTTTCTCCTAATATAGTATGTAAATATTTATATATGTTAAATATAATATGTATATATAATATGTATCATAAATTGCGTTGGCCTTTATGTATGTATGTTTAAATTTATTTTTTAAGTTTTCGCTTTTTTATTTTTATTTATTTTTGCTTTTGATTTGCCTTTGCTTATTTTACGCAATCCTGCTTATACTTGATAAAGTATAAGGAGTATTGCTGGAAATAGGTGCAAGTAAATACTTGAATTATTTTGTTGTAGAGATATTTTTGTGTGTTTGAACACAACGGTAAGCAGTTAGGCAATCAAGAGTTCGTTGGATATATATTTTTTACCAAACTGTTTTATCTGTTAGAGATATTTTGGTTTTTACCGGAAAATAAACCGAAATATAGAAACAGTTTGGTAACCGCTCTTTTTTGTTATTGCCTTTATTAAGACGGATTTATGTAATAAATAAACCGCATAGGCATAAATTTTAACATACATATAATAATAGGATATATACAGATACTAAATGGAATCGATACGACTCACTTTGGGGTTCCCGCCAAGGGGTTTTGGGGACAATGTTATACACATATGTGCTTGTGCGTGTGCTGTTCGTTCTGTGGCCCAGTCCTTTGCTGCTTGGCTGCGCTGACTTTGGTGAGCTGGTGTGGTTGTTGTTGTCAGCTGGTAAGGTTTTTTTTTTATTTAATTCGCGCCCGTTCTGTATTTTTATGTATGATTGTATTTAATTTCTGATTATTTCGCGCACGTTGTTGGTTTTTTCTTGCTTTATTTTTGTTTTCTATGTGTATATTTTCCACTT